AGATTTGTGCTTGCTGTCCAGTAAAATATCTTTATGACACATTCCTGCAGTTTCTGCCTAAACTGTTTGGTTATCATTCATTTAGTCCCCCTCAAACTTTGACACAGCCCTTTTATTTCCTTCACAACACACACTTCCTTTCATGATGCATACACACATACACAGGCAACAACAGGCAAGTGGGATTTACTATACAAAATGGTGTCAAGCAAGACACACATACACACTGGCAGTCAGTATTAAAACATCAGTCAGAGTTTCCCAAGCAGTGCACTTGAGCATATCAAACACATCAAACACATTTCCCCTCTTTCTGCAAATAGCAACTCATTTGCGTTCAGCTGCTGTCACTAAACTTCATCAGTGACTGTCTTATTTAACAAACAGCCACAACTCCTCATCCAGTAATCTGGCTGATGACCCAATCAGATCATTCTAAAGGCCCTGATAAGTATGTGAGAGAGTGGCCTATCTTTCAATGTATGTCTTTCTGTGTGCTTGACTTGTTTGTGTTTTGGTGTGAATCTGTCTGTATTTGCACACACTTACCTCGTCCTACATAGAGTACCTCTGCATGCTCAAAGCCCAGCGTGTTGTACGAAGGATCCAGGCCTTCACAGTAGTTGGCTACTTCCATATCTAACAGAGTTTTACTCTGAGGAGTAGGAGGATACTTCATTCCTGTTTGAGCCTGGTTTTCTCTCTCTTCTCTTCTCTTCTCTTCTCTTTTCCTATAGTCCTGCCTCTGTTTCATCTATTTCTTTCAGAAATAACAAGGGAGATCCCTGTCATAAAAGACCCATAATCTGATCTGATTGGGCCTTGAACAATAAGGAGGGGAGGAGCTGGGGTTCTTCTCACCTTATTACACTTCACTTATCTACCCTTCTCTCATACACTTATCACAGGGATGAATAGATAGTGAGAAAAGAGACATTTCCTTTCCCTCCTCTGTCTTTCATTGCTCTTTTATTTATTTATTTGGAGAACGCTTGCACACTATGTGCACAATTTAGGCGTTTGTTCTTACAGAGAGTAGCATGTATGAATGTGCATCTGACGTATGTGTTTGTGTGTGTGTGTGTGTGTGTGTGTGAGTGACTGTGCGTGTCCTTCCCAGGTTTCCTAATCTAATCAATGGTGAAGTAATAGCACTACCACCTCAGCAGATATAATCTATAAGGACACGCAGTGAAGTAGAAAACACTGATAACTCCCATTAAGGCATCCACATACACACCATGGGTTCACCCAACCCACTGTTTTTAACTCTTTATTTACTCTTTTTCTACTACAAGTTGCTAAATAATCTGACTGCTACTTTAAACATCACCAACAACACTGCTTTTAATTTCTTCTTCTTTCATAGTTTTTTAGCTCAGTCATCAATGTCTATGGTTTCATATCAGTTAGAATAATTATTTGCAAAAAAACCAAACAAACAAAAAAAACCAAACAAACAAAAAAAACCAAACAAGATTAGTAAGTACAAATTGACTCTAAAGTGCAAATTGAACAGGTGTTACCCTCCTATTTTCAGTCAGGGATGTTAAAAACATAATATGACCACCTTTGCATGAATCCATCAACATGTGCCTAACCCACCCATTTAAATCAGGGGTTTCATTACACTAACTCTTATCGTGTGGGTTAAAGGTAATCAGCTTGAGGCATTGTGCTGTGAAGACTGTAAATGATAAGAGGCAGTGTCATAGGAGATTTGATGCCCTAAATCAGCAGTGAATGGCCCAGTCTGAGGGGTTCGTCATATATGTGCAGGTATGGTGTGGTCAGTTTAGGCAACAATATTGCACACATGACAGAAAACACTATTAGCACTTGGCTGCATGGTAATAACAGATATATTCTATAATATTGGAAGCGTAGGGACTAAGAGAAAGAGGCGATAGAGAGAGAGAGCGATGTGATAGAGAGATTATAGAGAGATTACATTTTAACCAGGTAGTAACGTTAGGACTCCTGACTCATCACATTTGTGGAAAGGGAAGATGAAGAATTGCATCCTTACGGTCACATTTAGTCTGTATAAAGGCATGAGGGTAAACGCAGATGCTCCATGTTAGTTTCTAATAAAGGTTCTTATGTGATTACAGTTTAATAGACAACAAAGAATCGTGCTTTTAGGCTTGTAGATAGAAAGAAAAATCAATGTTCACTCAAAAGTAAAAAAATCTTTAATCCAGAACAGCCTAAACGCTCTAAAAGGCTTTTTTTAAAGCTTCACCTTCCACTCTTAAGAGCAAGGACAGAAAGCACAGCAATTGAGGTCTTTATTTCTGTAATGATGAGTGCCTTTGATCTTTCCCCTCTTTTTCATTTTGAATACATAAGAAAGCACTTTCTGATTTGCACTAAGGAAGCTACAACATTTGGAACAGCGAGGGTGATCAGCTGCTTGTGTTGTTTTACAGTAGGTTGTTAATTTTGTTGATCTCTCAGATACATTGAAAGCCTATTCTGCCACCTGGCAAAAAAAGAAAATATAATATAGAAGCAGATCAGCCTAGACGTAAATTTAAATTAAAAAGATTTTAATGTATGAGAATCACATTCATAGAAACAGTTGTAATACTAAAAAGGTATTGTGGCTTGTTGCAGGACATGTCTGAGAAAGCTTGCATCTGCCTAGCAACCAAAAGCCTTTTGTGGCCATAAAACCCACAGCTAAGAGGCTATATCTGTGTGAACTGGCCATAATACTGTCGCTTCTATTTAGACTAGGTTTTAATAGTCACAGATGACAATCAGCCTCGATTACTGACTCTAGTAAACCCTTACTTCCTGATACTCTGGAAACAGTTAAGTACGCAGTTCAGTAGTATTCACTCCTAAAACTGTACATCTTTAACACAGTATTTCTTTTTTATGTGTTGCAAAAGAGAGGAAGAGAACATGCAAGAGACTAGATGCATGAAATAAATAGTTAACTATGGTTTTGCAACTCTCACTCTTCACAGTGAAAAGTTAGCGTTACTGTATATGCAAGCTGAAAAAAAAATGTTAAAAAAATACAAATCAATAATTCAGCTGAAGTGCGTCCTGTGGGTTTACACATTATAGTTAAGTCTAACAGAACAGCAGAACAGTAAAGGGCAGACCGATATGCACAGCCTCAAAAGTCAATCAACAACTCTGGGAATGCCTCAGCAAAACAATCCCATTGCAATCTGGGCTAAAAAATTAACTAAGAGTTGTTTCTTTTTTCTCAATATGTGTATACTTCATGTATTGTCAAGGTTTGTGCAAAAAACAAGTAGTTTTGTTCACACAGGCGTTGCATGTTCTTGTAAATAGTAAAAAAAATAAAGAGCAAAACTTCCGCCTCCTTCAGATCAATTCATTATAGAACTGCATTATAGAAATGGAATCGTCCTATTGGACATTAAATGCAGTGATAGTAGAAGAAAAACACCACATGAACAGATTACCATCTTTCTGCAGATGAAATGGGTTATCGCCCGATCAGCGCAAGCCCATGTTGCAAAGTTAGTATTTCTTATCTGCTTTTTACAAAATGCCTGCAGATACAGAGTACTGGCTACAGGACATAGCAGCAGATGCCGTTTGTGCGAACAAGGAGTCCAACCATTGCCACCATAATACAGAAACCACGTGATTTAAGGGATCGCATTCACAAACTTCCTTGAAAAACTACCAAAGGTAACCTTCACTCCCACTACAGCAAAAACAACACTTCTTCTACTCTTCTTAGTCTGATGTGAACCATTTGAATTTCAGCGACAGTGTACTTAAAAAGAAATGTTTGGCTTACCTGTGTTTCTGTTTCTGTCCGGGATGTGCATTTATCCAGGTGTACCGTTGTTCTCCGACAGCTAGCAGCCCTGAGCCCCTCAGTGTGTCATTGGACTAAGTCACACTGAGCATGGGAAAATAGTAAAGGTGTTCAACCACGTTAAAAGGGAAGGTTGGAGAGCTGAGCGGCCTATAATTCAGAAAGCGACACATTGGATGGCGCCACCATAGCCCTGTCATTAGATCGATTTACTAAACAAACTCAAACTAGGGTGGGGATGTTAAACAGTAACCCAGGACCATAAAACTGAAAAGGAAAAGATCACCAGGTGTGAGTCTGTGTGTGTGTGTAGGTGTGTGTGCCCTCTGAGACCCAAAAAAGGTTTGAGATAATGTTTCACAAAATAATGGGGGAGACATAACAATTTACAGCATTTATTTCTCTTCTTCACATCGGCTATGTACACAGGATTTAACTGTTAAGTGCAAATACAGTTAAAAAGTATTCACTTCCACTTAGAGTCCTTGTACACAGATTTACAGAAACAATATCCTGAGATCTCCAATTTCATAGTCTAACATTATAAATTCCAAGTATGAAGCCTTTCTATTATAAGCACAAACCAGCAAATTGCAAGAGCGCCTGCATTAGGAAATAAAATCAAAAGACAGTTTTAAAGTCCTTAAATGTTCTCATGAATAAAAACACGGCTTGCTGTGACACAGTACACATATATAGTAATAACAACAGTAATAGTTAAAAAAAGCACAGCTTGAAAAGTGTGTGTGTGTGTGTGTGTGTGTGTGTGTGTGTGTGTGTGTGTGTGTGTCAGTCAATGGTACAAAAATTGTAAAAGTGCAAAAGCATAACTAAGGTCTGTCAGTTTTATTTTTTGAAACTCTGTATATATTAAATTATGTTCAAATGTAAAGTGATCTGAAAGACTTGAAGCCAAATAAGCCACTAAGGGAATGTTTTGTCTGACTAAGGTCAATATTTATTGTTAGAAACTGAAAGTCGAACCTAAGCTTATAATCAGAACCAGTGTTTATGCGTCATTCGCAGTTGTCTGCACAGTCTTTTTTTTTTTCATGTGCAATTTTTATGATAAAATTTGTTTTTTAATAATTTTTTATGCTATTTCAAACACTTCAAAAGCAATAAGATTAAATTGTTTAAATTTATGGAACTGTACCAGAACCCTGACAGGCATAAAAAAAAGTGAAGCAAACACAGTACCACCCGCTTTTAAGCAGCTTTTCCTACAAAGCACATGTTACAGGACCTCCTCCCCAGGAAAGTAAGCATGTCCAAACAGTTAAAAGTGGTTATGCTCAGAAATATTTCATTTGTACCCTCTAATTCTTTTATATTGTTTAAGTAGGACAGTCGAAAAATGTGGTAGGGAATGAAGCAGATGACCATGATTAGCGCAAAGCACAGGCTCTTCAGCTGAGCTCCGAACTCCTGCTGAAAGGTGCATCCCTCCCGATGCTTCTTGTATAAAACCCATAGGACATTGGCCTGGAAGGCTGTCAACACAATGGCAATGACTATAATCAATATGCTTGTCAGGTAGTTCAAAATCAGAACAGATTCTATAGATTTTCCAAACTGGAAGCAACGAGTGGCATTTTTGTCATGGTCTTTGCCATACTTAAAATGGATGATGCAAGGGACAGTGATCAGCACAATAATCCACACCAGAAAACTGATAATGCATGCATGCATCCTGTGAAAGGACGCCACCTGGCAAGCTTTCTTGTAGAACGTCAACAGACGGGTGATGAGGATAATCACATACAGGACAAAAGACATGTACATGTGGATGTGGATCATGCTGCTGGTTATTTTACACCATTCATAGCCCAACTCCCATTCATGAACTGCGTAATAGTAGATTCTGAAGGGAACCGTTAGCAGGAAGATGAAGTGAGTGAAGATCAGGTTGAGTACGGCAATTGACGTGGTGGAAGTTGTGGTGGATCTCATGATGCGCATCATCATGGTAAGGCTAATTGTACCACTGATCAGGACCACAGTGTAGATGACCAAGAGGGCTGTGTGGTACTCTTCTAGTTCATCTTTCTCTGAAACTGAGGGTGTGGTCATTGTTGAACTTTGGTTTGGAGATAGTGTGGTCCCATTTAATGTCGAAGTCATCCTAAACAGAAGAGGAAATTGAGTAAGAAAGAGTAAGAGACATTAGAACAGGAAGACAGGCAGGTGTGAAGAGTTAATGGAAATGAAGTGTATCCAAAAATGATTAAAAACGGGTGTTATAAAAAGAGAAAGAAAACACAAGGCTGTATTGAAAAAAATAAGAATGACTGATTTAATGTATTTTAAGGGCTTGTTTGTCTTCGGGTGATGAAACAAGACTAAAAACATGTGGCTATGTCACACACCAAACATGTTAGTAAGACTAACTAAAAAAGGTGTCTCAAGAATTAAGAAATACAGATAGACCATTTAACCAATAATGGAACCACTGAAGGACACCATATGGCCCACATTAACCATTAAAGGAGCACCACAACACTGGAAAGAACATGATGAGAAAACACAAAGTCCAAGCCAGAGATACTATCGTTTATCAGTGAACTTACTTGCGCTTCGGTCAGTGAAGAACTGTATGCCGAGTACTCTTCTGTGTGTGCGTGTGTCCTCTGGAGTAGATCACATTATATCCAGCAGCGGTATGTTCACAGTGTCGCAGAGGAAGAGAAAAGCTGAGAAAAAACGGATTCTGGTTGAGTGCATTCACGCATGTGCCTTTGAATGCGCGCATGTGTGTGAGACAGAGAGTAAGAGTGGAAGTTTGCCAACGTTCGGTGGAAGTTAAGGTTCTGAAAATGAAGCCTTTGTGAGCCTGCGTGTGAGTGTTGTAAGAAACCACCATCTACTTTGCATACTGTGTCAGAAACAGGAGGTTGCTGTAAACACATGTCAGCACACAGGAACACAGGGCTGCTTACTTCCTCATTTTTCTCTAAATGCACTCTTCACTTTGACATTTAAAGTGAAATATAGACGATAAGAAGTTGTTGTAGTAGTTAAAAGCACTGTGAAATGATTCGATTATTCGCAAAAGCAACAGATTAATGCAACATATTAGGCATGCATGTCAAACAAAAAAGTTTATACTTTTTCACTTTAATGTTCTTGCATCTCTTACACCTTAGATAACAACTTGTTGTCGATTGCAAGAACACAGTTAAGTCCACTATTATTTGGAGTGTGGCACAGTTTGTGTTTTTTTTTTTTTTCTAAATTCTGCCTCTGTACACTAACATAGTGGATTTTATATCAAACAATCAAGATGTGATTATAGTGCAGACTTTCAGCTTTTTTCCAGAAAAGTTTAGCCAAAGTATTACATTAATATTTTAGGGAATTACAGCCATTTTTATACACAGCGAACCATTTTCAGAAGCTTTAAAAGTATGTGCACACTTGACTGGTAAGTAATTTTGTGGTCAAGTGAGGTCTGCTTTATTCCATCACATGTTAAACAGAAAAATGACCTAGCACTGAAATTTCATTTGGTAGGCATTCACTGGAATTCTTTATATAAGGGTCATCATTAGGATGAAAAAACGAAATAAAAAGATCGGAGAGAAAGTAGAAAAACTTTGGGAGTGGACAAATCAACAGTGCGCTACGTTCTTTAAAATAAGGAATTCTCTGGTGAGCTCAAGATACCAAAAAGGCCTCAAAGATCGCAGACATCGGTTGGAGTCGCTGAGCTGTCTAAGTTCAGAAAAAACTTTCACAAGGGTGAAAACACAAAACAAGCAGAAGCTGAAGGTGACTGCAAAATCTCAAGGGAGGGGTGATGGCATGTGGCAATGTCTAGGTGGTGGGGGGGTGTTCTAGAGTTCAGAACAGTTAATGATTTGTAAATAACTATTTTTTGAAACCAGTTATTAAACAAAGCTGAAAGTCTGCACTCACATCCTAACACCACTCTGCTGTAGAGAGGCAGTATTTGGCATCATCCAAATACTTTTGAACCTGGTTACAACTTTGAAACATTTGCTTTTGCGCTTGCTAGACAAAGTCATCTACTTGCTTATTCAAAAGAGAAGTTAGTCAGGATGTGGTAATGCTAGCTGTGATGTTGACAGATTTGTTTAGTAACAACAAAGTGCAAAGACAAGTTACAAGTCATATGACATATACAGCACATTGTATATTGTGATTCCAACTAATATCATAGGAATTTATAAGCTTTTGACTTTGCACCACAGTTGCAAAGATGTCAACATAAAAGATCCAATTAACACCACAGTCCACTTTACTAAACAGGAAAACACCTTCGCATCACTCCGACCACAAGCTTAGTGTGCATGCTGCAAACATTTACCTACCGACGCTGTCCAACATCGATGGTTTTTTAAAGGTTGGTTTATTTTAACCTGCGTATAACCGCACACAGTAAACAATTAATACTGTTATATTCTGATTTAGGTTTGCGCTTATTTTAAGAACATTTACCTCATCTTTTATTTTTTTCTAGTTAGCTTTAAGTCCAACTGATGTCTATTTTTGAACAAATGTAGCTCTACTGCACTACTAGTGCATAGAGGGCCAAATATTAAAGTGTTCAATCATTTGTTTTCATTGCAAAAAGAACCCTTGTCCTAAAAACTGTTGCCCCAGCCTTTTTGCACAATTACCCACCAACTTCTGCACCTTCCTGGCCCTGATTCTGCCAGATGTTGACACCACACTCCATTAGATGTTAAAGAACCTCTCGTCACTCCTTAAGAATTCCCTGTCAGTTTGATTTTTGATTTTGTTTAAATAGGTCATCTTTACTAATATGCACTGTTGCGAAGACAACCAAACGTCTAAAATGATGGAAAAAGTCAACAATTTGCAACTCAAGTTTTTACGCGACAATTAAATTCTCTTAAACACACGTTTGCACGCCAATCCTTCAGTTTTATTGATACACACGTAGTCAAAATAAGTTAAAACATCCCTTTTCACACTAAAGAAACATACATTTTAGGCAGCATTATGAAGTCTCATGTTACATACTTTCACCAGACCATTTATCGTAGCAGCATGAAATCATGAAAAAGCAGAATAACACACACAAAAGCATTTGTTTGCTTTTTGCATGTGTTTCATAAATCAATTATCATTACTAATGCTTTTCCTCATTTGTTTACACGATTTAACCCTTTCAGAGAAACATGTACAGAGTAAAATATTTAAATGTGACAAGCAACATGTGGCCAAAGTTTTTTCTTACTGAGGTACAGTCCCATTGTATTATGTTGCAAATCAACACCCTCATCAAAAACCCAATTCACAGTCATATTTGCAGCAGCCTATTACAAATTCACAAATGAAACTAAGACTGAGTGCATTTGTACCAAAGAACACAACACAGTACTGTGCAAAGGTCTTAGGCCACTCTACAAAAAAGGTATCGCATTATTTAGGTTCCTAAGATTATTTTCCATTTTATCTATAAAAAAAATTAAAACAATATGACAAAACATAAAACATATCTGAAATAAGACAGTTAAATAGGTACACTGATAAATATCGTGTTTAAGACACATGGTAACATTTACTAGGGGAAGTGCATCTTGCGTTGCCTCCACAGGACGAGTCTTTGTGAAGTGAGAACATGTGTAACCACACTCAGCAACATGAGAAAGATCGTCATTGACATCACTATCACATAGTGACTAATGCTGCAAAAGACAGAGGAAGCTTAGCATGTTTTCGATGCATCGCAGACACCCAAACAAGAGATTGATAAGACATGGTTTTAAATGCATGTCCAAGTTTCATTACCTTGTGCCAATGTCCAACCAGCTGCCATAGTCCTGCACCATGAAGAAAAAATGCTGAGGAGAGCAAGAGTGAGTTAAAATCTATTTGAGCCTCATGTGCAGTTTGCTTAACAGTGGACGAGAGAAAGTCTTTTATAAAAGATCAACATTAAACCTGCATTACCAGAGCCATCAAGTCAGAGATAACCAGGACGATGAGGAACAAACTGCAAAATAAAAATAAGAGAGATTTAAACATTAAGGAGCACACATTGGTCAGTGCATTTAAACCTTTTCATGCACAATGAAGGAGGAACTAGAAGATCCTGGGCCATTTACTATAGTTATTTTAGATGCCTCAAGGTTTAAGAGTCATGTCTAACAAAGCAAAAAGAACGTACTTTAACTCTACAGACAGAATCAGATCAGTGATTCAACGTTTCCAACAAATTCAAAGAGTTAATTCAAGAATTAAAAGACTAAATTTATAATTTTAGATGAGGAAGCGAAGTGTTACCTCCTTGATGATAGCTGTGTTGCAACTTGGATGGTCTCAAATGTACACATAACTATGATGAATGGAATGATAACCTGGAAGAACAGATGACAATTTAAGGAAATGCAGGATTCTATTAAATGACTCAAAATAAACACATTATTATATAAACTCATTTAGACGTATGATGCTAAAATTTCTATTACAAATCTGTCTGCCTAAATTCTCCGTACAATAAATGTAAAAAAAGATACAGAAATTAATGGGCTAGGTCATGGCTGTTAAAACAAATTAACATGAGCGAAAAAGAAAGGCAGGTTAAACCGTATTTAAGCTTACTTCTCAAGCAGAATATGAATAGATCATGACTTGTCATAATGTGCAAGACTCCTTCCCCTTTTGGGGAAGCACAATACATATCACAAAAAGGAAATGTTTAAGAGTACAGTACCTTCCACATCATCAACCCTCCCATTATGAAAGGGTTGAAAACAGTGAGGAAACAATAAACAGATGCTGGGTCAAAACTAGGCAAAGGGAAACAGAAGTACACAAAGTGACTACAGACACCAGACTAGAATCTTTAACTTTTCAGAGAAGAAAATAGACCTCGTGTTGTAGAATATACACACTAACATCCTCTATGTTTGGTGCAAAACATATAGTGCATAGAAAAGAAATTTGTCAGAACTGACTTTTTTTTCTTATCCCCTTCCTGTATGACACTCTCACACTCACACAAAAATACTATGATGGATATACCTGTTTATGGACGCAATGTTTCCTGTGCCAAAAAATGCTGTTATTATAAAAAATACCTGAAGAAAAGGTGAAGTCAAGGTAATGCCCAATGTGAGAATGAACCAAGTTGATTTTTTTTTGTCCGATTGTACACTTTAAACATAAAAAACTTTTATATTACATTTTTAATGTAATATAAAATATTTGATCAAATCCAGCCTGAACATCACCCACAGACTCTAATGAGCCCAATGCGCTTCTGTGCTTCGGCGAACTAACATTGTTGCGACTGCTCTTAACAAGGATACAAAAAAATAGGACCTTCGGATGTCATCCAGCTTCAGCTGTCGAATCTTGGTGATGTCGATGTTTGCAGAGAAATCGATGGTGGATAACTGGAGGAAAAAGAAAAAAAACATGCATGTCTGTAAACTAGTGGTGCAACGGATCAAAAATCTCACGGTTCGGATCGGATCACGGTTTTAAGTCACGGATCGGATCAATTTTCGGATCAGCAAAAATAGAAAAAAAAAAGACAAAAATTCGACTCGCCATTTACTTATTTAAGTATTTTTTGCCTATTAAAAAACATTCAACTGAAGACTCATTCCACACACTTATATAAAAACAAATTAAGGTGCAATATGGACATTATGGACCATGCTGGGCATCCTCTGCATCCTCTGCACACGGCCATAAACAACCAGAGGAGTCTGTTCAGTGACAGGTTG